ACATAGTTTAAGAGTGTAATATCCAAATTTGAGCCAGACTTGTTTTCTCAAATGAAGGCATTTGGATCAAGCCATAGCAAATTGAGCTCGCGACCAATTTAAGGTTGCATTAAAAAAGTTGGTATTTTAAATGTTTGTTCTTTTCATTTTATCTAGATTTGGTGGGAGCATCCGGGTAAATCCTTACTTTTCGCCATATGTGTTGCTTATATTAATTGGTAACTTGATATTTATTTTGCTTATATTTTGTTATTTGTTGCAGTCTAAGGATCCCCGATTTCATGCACTTCCAATTGCTTCTCAACGGGTTTCAACTTTTGCTGATGCTGTTAATGAGCTTGTTTATGATGTACTCGTGTCAAAAGTACGGCTGCACTTGAATAATGTATCTCGTTTGCCTATATGGTCTTCCATGGAAGAACATAGTTCTCGTCCCCTCCCAACATTCAGTGCATATCCCCAATCTTATGTCACCAACGTTGGTGAATATCTGCTGACATTACCCCAACAACTAGAACCACTTGTGGATGGAATTTCAAACTCCGATGCCACCAATGCTGATGATGCTCAGTACTTTGCCACTGAATGGATGTTTAAGGTAACTTAAAATCACTCCATTCTTTGATAACTGTTGCTTTTGCCCTTGTCTCGTTTGGAGATTTCAAACGGGAGGGAAGGGGAGATGCTATTTTAAAAACTAATGACCCATTTGGTGAGTTTTGGGGTGTTGATATGATATGGGTAAATCTGTAAAAAAATCATTTAGGTTCTAAAATCTGAAATGAAATAAAAAATTATCAAAAATAATGAAGTTGATGACATTCTTCTCCTGACAACAATACAGGTTGCAGAAGGGGCAACTAGTCTGTACGTGGAACAATTGCGTGGCATTCAATATGTTACGGAACGTGGGGCCCAGCAACTGTGCGTGGACATCGAATACCTAAGTAATGTGCTCTCAGCACTATCAATGCCCGTTCCTCCCGTTCTTGCCACATTTCACTCATGTCTCTCAGTACCAAGAGATGAGCTGAAGGCGTTTGTAAAAAACCCAGATTCCGGGAATCAGCTTGATCCTCCCACTGCCAACCTTGTGTGCAGAATGCGTCGTGTTAGCATGGAATGATGATATGGTTTCGACCATTCACATGGTTCACAAGTCCCCATACCGTTTCAGGTCCTCTTTTAACAATCTCTGCTTTAATATAATAATCTTCTTATATAGGTTTGACGATCTAATAAAGTAGAACGTGTATGATTGTAATTTGTGTTGAGGAATAGGTATCCAAAAATAGTGTGGAAGAAAAGTTAGGGACAATCTAATAAGATAGTAGAGAGATAATTTTGAGACAAAATGAGTATACATTATAATAGTCTTATAGAGGTAAAATTACAGAGTAAGGACCTGTTTGCAAATGACATTTTCATTATGATCCGAGTGATTTGGATAACATTTTGATGGTACAGAGCAACTCCGAAAATGCAAAAGCTAAACGCTGCCTTTAGATAGTCTTTTCAAAATGTTAAAGTTGTTGCCAAATGCGCCCTAAAACAAATCGTCTTTGCAGGAAATTATCCCAAGCTGTGATCGGGAGTATGTTGCTGTCATTCATTATTATACGTGTGAAAAGGTTTTTATTTAGGATAATGGTGTTACTTTTATTTTTTCTACAGATTTTACATAGGGACATTAATTTTCTTCTTCTTCTTCTTCTTCTTCGTGTAACAGGAACATTAGTGTGTCTAAAACAAAAAAAAATGAATAAAAAGAAGTGTAGTTAGTTTTATTCGAGGTTGACTCATACCACATAAACACCAGCTAATGAGATGAGATGTTTTTATGCAACTGCTCTATTTGAAATTAAATTAATTATTCTTTTTAAGTTAAATAAATTTCATTGCTATTACATTGGAAGATCTAATATTATTGTTATCATATTAAATCCTCCGCATTTAAATTGAAATGGGAGTGTTAAAAAAATCAACGTGGGTGAAATTTTTCATAAATCTTGGAGAGTAGATTTTTCTTACCATTCAAGTCAAGCGAAGAACTCATTTTAATTGTTATTAAGACTTACCGAGTACATAAGTTTTTGTGCATTCCCAAATAGAATTACATATTTTTAAAATATTTATTTAATGAAAATGGCAAAACCCGAGACCGCCCTCCTCCTTACTCTACAGAGTGCCTCCCATGGCATCGAATGAATGCCCTTATTTCCTTCACTACCAAATTCCCACCAGTAGGGATGGCAACAGGTCGGATTCGGTTCGGGTATCCCTTTACTCGAAACCGACCCGAAATTTGTAACGGATATTTTTTTTGGCCTGAACCCGAACTGTCGGGTATAAATTCCTACCCGAACCCGACTGCGTAAACCGAAACCCGAAACCGCAACCGAACCCGATAATTTAACAAAAATCTATGCCTAACCCGACCTAAAAACCGACCGACCCGACTGATCCTACCAATGTCCTAATATATCAGTTTTTGTATGATTTTTATTAAAACAATGATAAAATAATTGGCAACTGAAATTCGAATCAATGATGATACTTGTTAGAGGAGGAGATAGGTTGTGCTCTGTGCGGTCGCCGATGAAGAATCGCCGTTGTGCGCTGTGGTCGCCGATGAATACTGTGCCGCTGTGCTCGCCGGTAAGAGGCCTGTGGATACGAGAGTGAGAGTAGAGAGATTTCCGTTGATACCGAGTCTAAGAGATAGGGTTCGGATATTAAATTTTTCCTTTGATAGTTGATACCGAGATTCTGTGGATAGGAGAGTAGAGTAGGTTGACTTTTAATTGGAAAAAGATTTTTTATTTCTTAAAAAGGTATTAATATTTCGGGTTGATTATCGGGTCGGGCCGGTCAAATTTAATTACCGAAAACCAACCCGACAACAGTCAGGTTCGGTTTTAAAATCTTCGGGTCGGTTTCGAATATTAAATTTTTCAGTCGGATTCGGATATTATATGCTTCGGCAACTTAGTGGTTTTTTTTAAGGAATTTAGTGGTATTTTATATCAACATATAAAATTTGTTATGTCGACTTTCACTAAGATTATTTGGTACTCTTTTTTTTGTGCATAAGGTTGTCTATTTCAATTTACGGAGAATGTTTTTTTATTATCCTTTAATTTTATCTCATCGCTCAATAGATATATATAGAAATCACGGACCGCGTTTATTAAAATGACATGGTATGAGTACGTGATGAAACACACAAATCTCATTAACACGATAAAGAGTTAAGTACCATTATGATCCGATATGATATCAAGTTAGTTCAATTTTGTCACCCACCCCAAGATATAAATATCATATTTAGGAATGGTACGCCTTCAGTTATTTAACTAATGATTTAAATAATACTTTTGTGCATTTAAAAGATTAATTATTTGAGTTGGGATTTTTATTATAGCTCTTTCATGTTTTTCTCACTCAAAAGAAAAAATATTAAATTATGAGTTTTAAACAATTATACCTTTAAATTAGATGCTTTAAAATTATTACCCCTTTATCGTAGAACCTTTCTACAATGATAATAATGAGTTTGCTTCTTTTGACATTAGAGTCAAATGTATAGTACTTTGTATGATTTCGGCTCAATTGGAGAACCTACGATATCTCGATTATAAAATTGACAGTTCTTATTTCCTAACCCCAACCCGAACCACCACCTTCTTTAATGGGACCACTCAAGTTCAGTTGACTATGAGGTTAAAAAATTAAACCCCAAGATCAATTAAACCAAGGTGGTCCAGTTGAAGGGGATGAGATGGTTAGTTCATGTTGGGCTGGGGTTGAGTTTACTGGAAGAGTAAGAACCGTCATTTTTACAAACACAATATCATAAGTGCCCTAATTAGAGCCAATGTCATAATATGACATGAGCTCCTAATGTCAAGAGAAGGGACTTCAACAACAACAACAACAACAACAATAATAATAATGATAATAACAACAACAACAACAACAACAACAACAACAACAACAATAACAATAATAACAATAATAGAAGAAGAAGAATATTAGTAGTTAGTACCCCTTGTGTCACGCTTATTAAGTTCCAAAAATGATTAGAATTATCACTTTTCAATGCACTTATCCAGAGAAATGTATTTTGATTTACAAGATTTGACTGAATTGTTTTATTCAATCTTTTTAAGGTATTTTTTTTAAAAATTTATTTTATTACAAAATTTATTTTATTACAAGTATAAAATCAACAATAAAATTTAAACTCCATATATTAAAAAACTATGAAGTACGTAAAAAGTCCTACAAAAACAAAAATTGACATAACTATTATATGAGTGAAAAAACAAACAAATGAAACAAATTAGACATTGCAAATAACAAAGAATATTTTCAAAGGGTAGGAGTATTTCGCTAAAATATTCATCTGAAAAGCAAAAATTAAAACCAAACGTGACATAAATTGTTTCACTAGTTCGCCATATTTACCCAATAAAGCACCAATTTAGCTTGCATCCATGGGCTCTACGAAAAAAATCACTGTAATTTAAAAGTTTGCCACGTTCAGTTTTTTCTAGGATTCGCTCTTGTATTTCATTATCTTTTACTCATTCCATCCAAGAAAACCTTACATGTTTTGACTTTTTTTGGTAAATCAATGACACTTTTTGACTACAACTTAAACATACTTTGAATAAATAAAAGTTATAAAAATTTGATATATCAAAATTATATCCTAAAATGTAGTCAATTACATTGAATTTACATCAAAATAAAATATACTTTTTCACAATTTGTGGCCAAAAAATGTCATTGCTTGATAAAAAAATCAAAACATAAAAAATTTTCTTAAACGGGAGAATATGATTTATACAAGGAATATGCTAGGTGTACACCACAATGGTGTACATTTGTATATCAATATGTTACACACACACACACACCCACAATAGTGTGTCCGTAACACAGTGGTGTACAAGTATTGTACACATAGCATTATCGTTTATACAACGGTTGCGCTAAAGCAATAGTGTTACCAGAGAAACTTTCTCATACACGCTAGACTGAGCACAAATTTTTTTGCTTATGCGTACCGATAAAGTTGGCATAACATATTTGTATCTAGGTATCCGCATACCCATATACGTGTACCGTAGATCCTAACTCCGTACATACCCGTCTTTATGCAAAGGGTAAATTTGGTGTAGGGAATGAGAATCTATGCCACATCGCAGCAAGCCAACGAAAGCCTTAAAAAATTCTTTAAGGGAAATATTTGCATTCTCTTTCTTGAAAAAAAATGATTGCAAATTTCAAAGATACACTTGAAGGTTCCAAGCCAGTGTCAGTATCTTAAAGGGGGGCTAGGGGATCATATTCATATGCATAATATGCATTTAAATTATAATAAATATTTTTAAAAGAAACAATCACAGGCATTTCATGTGGAAAGTGGAAACTCTGTTTACATATGTGGAGAGTTTGAATCTCATAACATGTGTTTTGTCTATTTATCTATTTTAGGATAATGCTTGTGTGTACTTATTACATGATCATTTTAGCTCACGAAAATGCGATGTGTCGTTATTTTTATTCTTTGAAGGCTTATTAAGAAAAAGGTAAAAGTAAATGTTTTGAAAACTTTGACACATAATTTGTGAAATGCCTTTGTTACCTTTATAGTGTTAGTTTGAACCAAGATTTCTGCAAACGGCGCTGGCTGCCACATCAGCTGGCGAGTCCCTGCATAGTTCTATCTCTACCAAATGAAGGGATATGGAGTTTGTGTGAATTTACCTATCTGTGAACCCCCATCATTGGACATTTGGACCAAACAGATATTATATCAAGGCTTAAAGCATTCTCATATGAGCCGATTACCATGCCAAATATGCAAAAAAATAACAAAGTTGGTTTAAACCCTCACGTAGGATGGGAAAAAAGGACCAATAAAGTAACCAATTCGGACAAACGGGTTGTAATTGTTACCTCAGTGTTGGAATGATCTCCTTAAGCAGCTGTGGTTACCAATGCTAACTAACGGATCAGTTTTTAACTAATATATGTGACCCTAAAAAGATAACACTCATACCAAATAATACAAACAGAGCACAAAATAGATAGAGCAAAGAGGTGCAACAACAGAGCAATACCTACCTCATCAACCTTTCTCCTCTACATTGGGGGAAGATCATATAGTCTCAATAAAGCTTTTAGCTGTCAGAACAAAAAAACAGTTTCACACATGAAGAGATAGATGGACGGATCTTCGCATACATTCAGGATAATTTTTTTTTGGAGTAACGATAAAATGTCTACCTCAACTTTTCAAACTTCGGATGTATATATCCTTATAAATGCTTCTAATATTGGTGAACCGGACTCTTTGTTAAGCTCCGGCAACCACCAAGCCGGACTGGTGACCTCGACCTGCTTCTGTCACGATCTCGGTTCCTATCCCCTCTTCCGTTTCTGGTGTTACCGTACCTATTCCAATTTGAACCACCATTATCTCTGTCACGTGTGACTCTGAAATTGCGTTCACGATCTCTTTCATGGTGGCGATCGCGATCACGCTCCCTTCCATAATTCCTATCGCGGTATCTATCCCTATCAGATGAACCCCCACCACTTCTATGTCTGTTCTCATTTTCTTTCTCCTGCTTCCTTCTTTCTTCTGATTCCTTCTCCCTTGCCAATCTTTCATCTTCTCTTGCCTTCTCTCGTGCAGCCTAAACAAAAAAAATAATCATAAACCACATCTTAGTTTTCTTGTCCTTGATTTTTTAAAAGAATCGTTTATGTGGCATAGTAAGAAGTGTAAAATTGGATTATCATACTACCTTAATCTAAAAAAAGAGACTAGCAAGATAAAACTTGTAAAAAAGAACCTAGCCAAGATAAAACTTGTAAAAAAAGCCTAGCCAGTAGCCAATACTTATCTAATTCAAGAGAGATTATTGAAATAAAAAAATAATTAGATTTAATGATAATTAACATCTTTAGTTCAAATAAGACTCTATTCGGGACAGTTTTAAGCAATGTTCGAAATGGAAAATTGCGCAAGGCATTTTCATTGCCTATGTAAGGCGTTTTCCCTTCAAGATCTATTGCGTAAGCCTCAAGGAGGAGTGAGGCCTAAGCCTCATTCTTAAAGTATCAAAATGTGCATAAAAGATTACTAAACTGAATGGTGGGGCTTTTGTTAAGGAAATGTGGGGTAATATTACCTTGTATTCAGACAAGAAATCTCGAACCATGCCATAACCCACATGTTGTTTGCCTGTGACATGAGACTGAGTCCGCTCAGCAGCATCGTTTGCAATTAAAAAAGAGCCACATGTTTCACACAGTGCCATCTTTTTCTCTTGTGCCATCATCAGCAAACTGGTTTGATGTGACTTCTGAGTCAAGGATATCTTTTCAATATTAAGCAGCTCAACCTGAAATATGAGTTAATAAGCACATACTCTGTATCAATTTCCCACATTAAGAAAATATCAACTTTTTGTCTCAACTAATAATATCAACTTAGTTATGTGGGAAACATTTTCAAGAGACTACTTCCCTAAAAAAATATCCTAATGATATATCATATATCATTCTACTTCTATATATAATGTATTCTCTAGCCCACAAAAAGAACACAACTTTTACAAGAAAATGACTTTTTGACCACTCCTCGATACAATACAACTTTTTAGCACAAAATTTGAAACCATCACATAAAATATTTTCTTTAAAGAAATATTTTAAGATGCCAAACACAAGAAAAAATTTCCATGCCTAACACAGGCCTTAACTATCATTTCTTTGGATAAATGAATAATGGAATACAATAAACTCATTGCATGAAGTTTTTAGAATCCCTAACAGTAGTAATTTACGGCACCTTTCTCATCAATGCTTCAGCTTCATCCACATTTCCAGCTTCACCAAGAGACTCCACTTGTTCCAGTAAATTCTTAATACTTTCCTCCAGGCGAGATAACTGTTCAGACTTTTCTGTTGACAACGAGGGAGGTAAGGGAGTTGCCTCATCTTGATCAAGGCGTTCTTGACCACGCTTCACTCTTCTGTCCAGGTCCATGATCTAGAATACATTAAATCAATAATCATTACAATGAACTGTTCTGCCAACAGGAAACAACAACAGCATATCCACTAATCCAACAAGTGGGATATAGGGAGAGCAAGAAGCATGCTTAGCTGCAGACCCTACCTCCACCGGCGAGAGGATTACTACCAGGAGATTAATTAAAAGCATAACAATACAAAATATACCTACTTACCAACTTCTCGCAGAAATGAGCTAGCTCCTCTTCAAATTTGGGAACATATGCATCATGTCGTGGGGACTTTTCAAAACTGGAGACCAACAACATTAAGCTCTCTTGATTTGTAAACGGAATATAGTCTAGATCTATGTAACTTGCCTATCACCCAATAAAATGAAAGCTACAGGAAAGTATGCTTAGTGGTTGAAATAAGTTGGGATGAGTTTTCGGCATATATTAGTGGAAATGAGAACCAACTTAAAATAAATCTAAACATATTCAACTAAAAAAACTACAGCAACTTCTAGTTCCTCAAAACCAAAGGCAGTCCTACTCATGATGACATGAAGAAGCTACCGGATAGAAGGAATCTGACATCTAATGACCAGGTGATGACTAGATGAGCAAGTATGGAGCAAGAATTGGAAAAGGATGTCCAAGTAGAAAATCTTCAAGTTTCTCAGAATAACAATTATAGCCATTACATGATGCTCAGAGAAAGTGCACTATATTTAGTATATTATTGTTACTTTGCACTCAACTCTTATAAATGGAGCCAAAATCCCTGTCCCCCTAATTCTTGATCTGACTAAAGATTTATCTACAACAAATTGCATATAGACTATGTTGGCAAGTTCCCAATTCCCATGCTGTGCATTTGATGGGAGGCAGACGGATGAAAAAAAGAATATCAAGGGTATACCGGTATAGTAATTATCAAAGAGTAAAGAAAGTAACTTATTTTCAATTTTGACACAGACACACACCAGAAGAAAGAGTGAGAAATGTAACAGATATACACTTTGTATATACAATTTGAAGTGCACAAATCTTGGTTGAAACACAGTATTACCTAAAAAAACCATCCTGAACCACAATGCAAAAATGTAATATTGAACCTTACCTTTCCTTCAACTTTGGATCATGAACTTTTGGACATGGCCCTGATGGCAAAAGTTGAAAGAAAAATAGTAAATGAAGTGCTTAAGAAAATGTGTACAGCTAAGAGATTCTACATGGTTAAAATAATCCATACAATGAAATACAATTTTTCGGAAACAGGCCTAAGGGTTGTCTTTAAGACAAAAAAGAGCAATTTCATTAGTTGTTGGATAAAAATGATGGGTGAGGGTTGAAAGGGGGGTGGGTGTATTATTTGAACCAAGTACCAACGAAAAGCTCTATTTTTTGCCATAAAGACAGCCCTTATGGCTGTCATTAGCATTTTCCAATGAAATGTGATATCCTCAATACACGGAGCAACATTTTAGGTTATATACAGCTCCAAACATTAATAATATACAGAGTGTAAATTGAAACTCCATATATTATAAATGTGCTAGCATGCTAATAAAAATAAATCATATAGTACAGTGAATTCAAAACTCACCCAAATCACTCCGAGTATTCACGAACAAATCATGGGGGCAAAACCGAACCATATAGAACCTACAAACTTCCTTGTCATCCCATGTGAGTTCCTTGTACCCCTTCCTCTCTTCTTCAGTCAGATTACGTGCTATGAAAATACAACCACAAAATATGACGGCCAAAATTAGCCATGAAAGAAATAATCCACTAACACCTGAACAAAAGTACAATCATTAATCTGCTATTGGATGCCTCAAAATATTAATCACGTGCAACCATCAAATGAATTAAAAACACTTTGATTTGAATCGGACAATACACATTTGATGGTTCTATAGTAACTTTTGTTCCAACTAAAATTTCGTGATGCTGCAAACAGGATTTTCTCAACGATTCAATGGTTTTAAAGGTATATGGATCAAGATTCAGTTACGACACTGATAGAACAAAGAAGGACGAAAGCAGGGCATGATTTAAGACGAGTAACTTACATGCACCCATGAGTTCATCGAGCAATGCTCTCTGAGCATCCATGACGGAGAAATCGGAACAAGTGAGAGAGATAAATCACAGCCGGTGCTGAAATCGTCGGAGTTGTGGGAGAAGACGTAGCAGAGAAGAGAAGAGGAGATATGATCTTTCTGTCGCGATTTAGGGTTTCATCTATGACTAAAAAATGTCAGGCGAATATACCAGATTGTTTAGTTGGTGTCTATGGTTTATTTTGCTGCTAATTATACATTAACCATCATTCCAATAACAATTAATAGTCCCAATTAAAAACTTGTTTTCTTAATTTATTCTTATTATTTAATCTCTCTTTTACAAAAAAAATTACACTTTTTTCGAGATGTCTTGAAAAAAACCCCTTCCGAAAATTTGGAAAATTTTTTGTTACTTAAATCTTTTTCTCTACATTACTTTCAACCACGTATTTTTATACTTCTTAAACTTTGTATCAAACCAAATAAAAAATTTTATTTTCTAATGGAGAAAGTATTATTTATTCTTAAAAGAATTATATAAGATCAGATCATAAAATAATTTTAAATATAACTACAATTAAATTAGATCAGACCAAGTTAGATCATACATTAATAAAACCAAATCCAAACAAATCAAACGAAGAGAACAAACTCTAATAGTCATACTTCCTCAGAATAATTAATATGTATCTTACCTTGCTTACCTAATTTAATGAAAAATAAATGGTCCACAATCTTTTTTTATTTTTCTAAATAAATGTTAACTACTAGTTTTTTACTCTCTCGCATTTAAGAAAGAGTTGTTTGGACATGACTTTCCACTTTTACTTTTGATATGATATGTAAAAGTAAAATATAATGAGTAGATTAATAGTGAAAAAATATGATGTTTTCAAATATATATAAGTTTACCTAATATATATTTGGTTCTATATATATAAGTTTTCAAATGGTTATATATATATATATATATATATATATATATATATATATATATATATATATATAAGTTTTCAAATACTCCTTTGTCCCCTAACAAAAACGTACTTAAGCAATTCTGGAATAATAATACATAATGTGTAACTTAAGTAAAAAAATGAGAATGTGACTTTAATCAGTTATGTTTTGGAATTGAAATTCCAAGAAAAACAGACTTTAGTTGTGAGACGAGAAAATATATTAAATCTAAGGGTTGTATTTAATCAGGATTCTGATGGATTTTTTTGGATTTTGAAAATCTGTAAGTATTCAATTCAAATTTTAAAAAATCATTTAAAATATGACTGTATTCAATCCAGATTTTAAAAAATCCTTCCAAATATGACAGTATTAAAAAATTGATAGATTTGTAAAGATTTTTAATTATATGGATTTCAATGGATTTTCATGCCTCTCTTATTAATATAATTCCAGATTTGAAATCCCACCAACAACCCTAGGATTTCGCCAGACTTTCTTCCGCACTAACTAGGTCCACTTCTCATCTTCTTTTTCGATCCGTCGGCATAGCACTGGACAACTTTTCATCTTCTTCTTCAACTTCTCATCTCTTATTCAATCCGTTGCTAGACTCCTCTCTTTTCGTGGAGCTCTAAGAAAGAAGCCAGATTCTCAATCTTTCAGGTATTTAGCTCCCGTTCTAGATTCAATCCTTCCACGAAGGACATAGGCTCGCCGGCGGCGGCAGGGACGACAATGGACGTGGATGGAGACAGGGAAGAAGAAGAAGGGGAATTTGAAGAAAGAGGAGAAAGAAGAAGAATAAATAGGAGGGGAGAAAGAAGAGAAAGAAAGAAAGGAAGGAAGGAGGAGGAAGGAAGGAGAGAAGAGAAAGGAGGAGGAGAAAGAAAAAATAAAGAAAGAAAAAAGAAGCAGAAAGGAGAAGAAGAAGAAGGGGGCGTAGGAGAGGGGAAGAAAAACAATCGGAGTCAGGTTGAGAAACAGAGAAACAAAGAAGAATGAAAAAAAAGTAAATGGATTCTAACAAATCTATCAAAATCTATGTTAAAATCTCTATAATTATGCGTAAACTTAAAATAATCTTTTGATTTTATATAATCTATACATTTTAACAAATCTATCAAAATCTTTTAAACTCTGAATTGAATACACCCTCTAAAATAAATTTAGCCAAACATAAAAAAGAAATCTTAGTTTGGAGGGAGACTATTAAAGAATTGTTAACTTAAATAATTGTGAGATTCTATGGTTATAAATTTGAAATCCATTAAAAAGTTGGCAAACACACACAAATGATACGTTATCAAAAAGACAAAAATCATGTCTCATGTATTCACTAAATAAATATTTTTTAATTGATATTGACTCTATTGCAATAAACATTTAAAATAACATTTTTTTACAACGAATAGCATATTCAACTCATATTGAAGTGGTAAAAAACATTGTGATCTAGCGGCATCAAAATCACTTCTACAAACAGGATGTCACATGTTTGATTTTAGCGGGAACAATAACTCTCTTTGCTCTAGTGGGAACAATAACTCTGGCATAACCGTAATACTGTATATATCAATAGAATAGTTACGCCCCATATAACAATTCATCAATTGGCTAGCTCTCAAGCCAATCGTGAGTGTCACCATTTTCCACTAACTATTAAAAAATCGATGAGGGAATGAATTCTTCTATACAATGTACCACTCGTATTTAATTTGTCACTCATCATCAACACTAGTGATTTGATTATCAGGAACATGACTGTCATCGTCACCACCGTTACCCATGGCATCATCGCCACATCCACCGCTCTCACCCAGCAACTTCCTTTTGGGCTTGACGTCTATCAACATGGAAACAACTTCCCGCATGGAAGGCCGGTCCGCCGGATTCCGGCGAGTGCACAACAATGCAATGTTAAGCAATAACATCATCTCCTCCATCACCAATGGGGAAGAAGTAGAAGAACAAGAAGAATTAGAAGAAAGGTCGTATTTATCAAAGAATATTTCTTTCATGTCATTTTTCGCGTTCAATTTCGACCTCACCCAATCCACAATGCTATTGCCTTCTCCAAATTCAGACTCCATTGATCTTCTACCAGTCAGTATCTCCAATAGCATAACTCCATAACTATAAATGTCGCTTTTTGCGTCAACTTGTAATGAATATGCATATTCTACAAGATAAAAATTACACAACTTTAATTTGTTAATAATAGCTCACGAACCTTTAATTTGAAGATCCAAAATCACATCACTTGGTTAAATTGGATAAACTTGGTAGTCAAATTGTATAAACGAACTGAATAGTCACACTAGATAAAATTTGATCGAACAATATTAAATAAAACCTCACTATGTACATTTGTACATATTAACACAATAAAACAAATCATTGAAAACTTTATTGCAAATCGTCAATTAATGAAGCTTTATTATCAAATTATTTTAGTTTGATATATAAAAAAAGGCAAATTGGAATATTATTTGCCGAAATTGAAGAAAATATATCAATATATCACGGAGGGGTGAGAGAGTCTCATGAAAGCTGTAATTAATGATTGCTCCATGCGAAATTAAATTAAAAGTCAAGAATAATAAACCAATATAATCATGGCTAATAATTAAATAATACGAGTATGAGAGTAATTAAAGAAGTATAAGTAAGAAAATATTGGTGGGTTGAGAAAATAACGAAAGTGAAAGCTAAAAAGCAAATAGGCTCATTGACATGCGCCATACTGCCATGCATTATAGATCACGGCAAATAGAGAAAATTAGAGAAAAATGAAATTGGAAAATACTACGAAAAAAAGGAAAAAGGCAAAATTAAAGTAAAAGTGCAAAACAAAATGATCACATTTCTGATTTTCGGTTTCACATTTGTATTATGAGTATTAATTGTTTCTTTATCATTATTTGATAAAAATAAATTTATTTTTACCTACAGATTGTATCCCAAAATGTATCTTAAAAGTTTACACTTATATTTTATGTCAGTATTAATGTGAAATTGATAGCTTACGTTAACATAAAATGTCAGTGTGAAATTTTGAAATTAAACTAACTTATTTTTTTTGAACAAACTAAACTAATATTTTATGTCACTGTATGTTATCAAAATGTAAATTTAAATATTTGAAATAAATCTTATGATACAATTTTTTAAGTACATCTAACATGATTGTAATTAATATTTGTTTTTTTATTTAAATAGAAAAGGTTGCCAATGACCTTAGCTTGTAGTCTTATGTCACCGCTATGGTTCCCCCAAATCAGAGGTCATGTATTTGACTCCCAGTACGGACAGTAATTCTACTAGCTAAATAGGTTGAAAATGTATAAACAGATATTACGATATAATAGAGCTATTAGTGTTCAAAAAAAAAGAAAAGATTGACTTCATTTCTTATGGTCCATTAGTTATTTAAGTAGTAGGGAAACAATTAAAGGTATCCCCCTAATTCTCCAATGCTCTTTTTTTGACAAATCTAGCTTATTTCAGAATTTGATTTATTTGATCTCACCTAATACTCTAGCTCTCATATAGAAAAAAGTAAAAACAAAGACCTAATAATCATTTACTTTTTCTCTTTGTGCATACGTTAAAAAAGGATAAATATAACACATACTCCCTCCGTCCACAATTTGATTACAAATTGTGGGTTACGGAGTAAAATTTTCTATTTTTTTGAAATCATTTTATTTACAAATTGGTACTATAATAAGATATAAAAATTACATATTAAAAAATTACGTTAAAAGTTCTACAAAACAAGAGGTGGCAAGAATATTTTATTTTATCAAATATTCAATGAAATCCCGTAAACAAACAAAAGTTATCGAGAGAAAAAAGAGAAAAAAAATTATAATCTATTTAGAGACGGAGGGAGTAGATGACTACGATTTTTGACACAAAAGAGAAAGTCAACCAAGCATTCGACCATCAAATCACGACAAAATGTTTGTTATTGTTATTATCAACACACTTATACCTGTCACGCATTTGCTGATCATACTTTTGTAAACGAATATTATAAATTTAAAATCATGATTTAAATTTATTAAAGAGTGTAAATAATGCCATACCTGGAGCAATATAACCATAAGATCCAGCGATTATCGACACAGTACACTCGTCACCTTGGAATAACTTAGCGACTCCAAAATCAGCAACCCTAGCCACATTTTTATCGTCTAAAAGAATGTTACTAGGTTTTAGGTCACGATGGAGTACTATCGGGTCACAATCGTGATGAAGATAACTAATTCCTTGAGCCACACCAAGGGCAATCTCATATCTAGTTACCCAATCCGCAACCATACTACTCATGTTTTTATTTTTACCATGTAATAAATCATCGAGACTCCCGTTCGGCATGTACTCGTAGAGTAACAATGCACAATCGTCAGTGGCGCAACATCCTAGTAGTCTCACAATGTTTCTATGTTTTATTTTGCTCAAAACCTCGACTTCTGCCAAAACGCCTTTCTTTATACGGATCGTGTCCTTCTGTAGATTATGTAATTTTTTTATGGCTATGATCTCACCACTTGGCATTTCCACCTTGTACACTGTCCCAGTGGATCCCGACCCAATCACCTTGTCACAGTCTTTCACAGAATCCAAAACGTCTTCCGCCGTGAAATTCAACCTTTGGTAGGCGGTCAACTTCCACGGGTCCGGTTCCCGGTCATCGGGGAATCGGAGATCGTAGCTCGCCCGTAAACACCTCAAGGCGACAACGAGTACGAACACGCAAATCCCAAATGTGGCGATGACGATGTAGACCACTTTCCTCGTGGTCCTTTTATGGGGCTGATTGATATCCATGCTGGTCGCGGGCTCATTGCGGCAGGATCTTTTGATGATGCTGCCGCAGAGCCCGTCGTTTCCGGTGAAAGACGATGCATGGAGGCTCGAGAATACTTGACCGGACGGTATTGGGCCCACGAGACGGTTGTAGGACACGTTGAAGCTCTCTAAGGTACGAGTGCCTCCGAAATTCGAGGAGATTGTCCCGGAGAGAAGATTGTGGGACAAATCCAGGTCGGTGAGTGACGGGAGTGAGGAGATCTCCCAAGGGATGATGCCGGAGAGGGAATTCCGGCGGAAATTCAAAGATATGAGCTTCTCACAATGCTGAACATCCGGTGGGATATCTCCGGTTAAGTTGTTCCCTTCGAGCTCGATCTTGTACAGGCTATGGCAGCCTCTGAAATCTGGGATTTTCCCCTGAATGGCGCTGTGACTTGCAGAAAATATATTCAAATCCGGCGCGCTCCAGATATTTTCCGGCAAGCCGGAATGAAATTGGTTCCCGGAAATGTTCAAGAACTGCAGTCTCACGGCATTGCCGAAATCCTCCGGGATCGCGCCGGATAAATTGTTGAGGCTGAGGTCCAAGAATGTCAGATTCGGCAACGACCCGAACCCTGCCGGAATGGATCCGTTCAGCCGGTTATCCTGAACTCTCAGCCTGGTTAATGAGGTGCAATTCGCAAGGGTCGCCGGGATTGCGCCGGAGAATTGATTGGAGAACAAGATGAGTTTCTCCAGTTTCTTACCGAGGCAGAGGCCCGGCGGGATCGGGCCGGAGAGAGAACATGACGAGACGTCCATCTTTACTAGCCTGGAATTTGAACCCAATTTTTGCGGCAAAATCCCTGTCAGCGAGTTGTTCCACAGAGATAGCCTCTCAAGACAGGGAAGCTGTCCAATCCCCGGTGGGATTTCTCCGGTCAAGTTGTTCCCCAGCAGCGATAAGATCGATAGCTTTTCCAGTGATGAGAGTGTCGCCGGAATATGCCCTGAGAAATAGTTGCTCGAAAGATCCAACTCTTTTAGCAGAGTTAATCGGGAAAGTTCCCCGGGAATTTCCCCCGTTAAACCGTTCTTGAAGAGGTACAAAATTTTGAGCTTCGTTAAATTTGAGATTTGCGGCGAAAGATGGCCGGAAAGATTTGCCTGGGAAATGTCAAGATAGGTTAAGTTATGTAGGGTGAAAATCTCCACCGGAATACCGCCGGAGTACTCGTTATACCCAATCAGGAGATTCTCAAGGTGTTTCAACAAACCCAATTCCGGCGGGATTGCGCCGGTGAGTAAATTACCGGCCAAGTAGAGAAACTTCAGGTTGGAAAGACTTCCGTAGCTAGCCGGGATTTCGCCGGAGAAGTAACTCCCGCCGAGATTGAGGTACTCGAGGTTCTTCAGCGACACGATTTCTCCCGGCAACGGTCCGGAGAAGTTGTTGCTGAAGGCGTTGAAAACAGAGAGAGACCGGAGCCGCGAAACGGCCGGCGGGAGAGTGGGGCCGAAGGAATTGTTACTAATGTCCAACGTCGTCAGGCCGGGAAGCTCCAAAACCGGGGGCGGCATTGGGCAGTCAAAGAGATTCCCGCTCAAATTGAGGTGCCGGAGCCGGAGGAGGTGCCGGAAACTCGCCGGGAAAATCCCGGAGAGATTGCGGCGGGAGAGGTCGAGCGCGGTGACGTGGCCGTACTGCCCGCATTCCACGCCCGACCACCCGCACCAAACGAGACTCGAAACGTTCTCGTTCCCGGCGACCTCCCAATCCCGGAAGGTGTTGAGAGGGTCTCTGAGGGATGATTTTATTGAGAGGAGTGAAATGAGTTGAAGAGAAAGAGTGGAACTTGAAGTGGAAATAGAAAAGAGTGATGAAAAAGTTGTGGACATGAAGAAGATGAAGATGGAAATGGAAGAATGGGTGTTCATGTTTGGCTATGGAGGAGGTGAAGAATGAAGATGAGAAATTATGGAAAGAAAAGTGAAAAGAAATGGGGGATTTATTTTATTTTAATTTATTTTTTTTATTTTTTACATATTTTGAGATGGTTTAGGAATAGTTCAAATTTGGAAGACTTTTTTGGAGTGCTTATTGCGGCCGGTGATTCATGATGATGAGTTGGTTTGAGTGGAGACAATGGAATGTTTTTATACACAACAAAAAGTAAATGTTGGTACAAACATTTGTGAAGTTTCAAGGGAAAGAAAAAAAAAAGTGTCAATGGATTCCGTAGAGAAATCATTATTTTTTACTCCTCCGTCCAGAAATAAACTTTACATTACGCGTTATGATGTTTGACTAAAGTTATTTTCAAATCATTTTATATGAAAAATGATGTAGAATTGAAAAATAAAAATTACATATTAAAAAACTATATCAAAAGATCTACAAAACTAGAGGTGACATGATTATATTATTTTATCAGATGGGTGACGAAAATAAGCCAACAAAGTGAATAAAGTTTGACCATGTGAATAGTGAACGCAAAGTTTATTTGTGGACAGAAGGAGTATTTTTTAACGTCATAGAAATAAGTGTTTAGTGGATTTTATGAATCTTAGGAAAAATATATTATGAATCTTAAGATGCATTAGAGCATCCACAATGGCAACATCTCTCATTAGATGCCCAAGTGTGGGCTCCACTATAAAGATGTTATTCTAGCACCTCTCTCAACATCTTATTCTTTCAATGGTAGCATCTCATTTGGATGCATATCTATTCAATTAATATAGTAGGTCCACTAAAATATATTTATATTTTATTTTTTTTGTTAATTATAAGTATTTAGTTATATAATAAATTACGGAGTATTAATTATACAAAACTTGAAAATATTATATTGAAAAAAATTATTCTTTATATTTTAAAACTAGTTTGTTCACCATCAATATCAAAAAAATCTAAAAACGACCCATTTGGATGTAAATCCATTTTTTAAGAAAAAAAATTCTAATTTGCAGCTATTTGTAAAAAAACATTTACTTAAAATATTTATTGGAATTACACAAAAAGTCATTGGAAAAGTATTTAAAAAGAGAGCTATTTAAGAAAATTGCCAAAAAAAGAATTGAATATATATATGACACATGACACATAATCATTGGACCACAAAACTAAAGAAATAAATGCATGGAAACCCTTCCCTCTCAAGCACCGATGCTATGTGAAGCATCCCCCTCTCTTTTTCTTCCTTGGACATCTATAATGAGCACCCACCTACAACAATAGCATCCAACAACATCTCACACTCTCTCTTCCTAGCATCTCTTGTAGGCATCCCATTGGAGATGGTCTTACAGTACGCTTAAATTCACACTAAAAAAAGAAGAAAATGAAAAAGATTGTTTCTTTTCTGGAGCTTCTTCATTCACCAATGTCATCGGTAGTAATCTTAAACATTGTTTGTTAATTGTTATCAAGTTAATGTCTTTTGCAATCATAGATTTCTTTCCCCTTTTCATCATTCCTTATACTTTTTTTTGTTTGACATTCACCAAAGATTCTTACCCATTTGGTGAAGGAAAAACCAAAAAAGAGTACGTAAAATGTAGGGGTGTTCAAAAATATCTGATCCGAAATATCCGTTCACGATCCGAGCATATCCGATTCGAAAAACGGATATTCGATCCGATATTTTAGTTTTCGGATATTTCGGATCAGATACCCGAGAAAAATCGGATCGGATATGGATTCAATTTCTGGAATTTTTCGGATAATCGGATATCCGATTTTTTCTCTCTATTTGTTTAATGGAATTTTATGGATAAATATTATGGCTATATGTTTAATGCAATTTTATGTTGATTTTGGAACTCAAGCATTTTGGACTTTTTGCATTATCATTTTGGAACTTTTTGTTTTAGTAGTACTTTTTTTTTTGTTTATTTAAGCAAACTTACCAAAGTTACTTCCAAATTGAATTTGACATCATTTTTTTATTAGGCCATTACCTAGTGGTGGAATTTTGCTTTTAGTAAATCTATATTGAATTTGATATTGTGGGTTGATTTTGCTATTTTACCTTTTTTTTTTGTAAAATTTGGCTAAAAAGTCAACTTTTCGGATAATCCAGTGATCTGATCCGAAAATTCGGATATCCGAATATTTTCGGATCGGATATGGAATGAGTTTTACATGATCCGAAATTTTTGGATATCCGAATTTTCGGATCGGATCGGATCGTTCCGATTGAACACCCCTAGTAAAATGCACCTCACATTTAAGGATCACTAGAAACTTGATTAAGAAGAATAAATTGAGTTTTATTTGTAGTCTAATAGATAATGAAATAAAGGAATTTACTTAAATAACACTAAAATATAATAACTTTTTCTAAATAGCATCACATGTGTTTTTCTTTCCAATATAACACTTTTAAATATTATGCATTAATCATTATTCAAGTAAATATTCGTCATCACTGGATATTATTAAGTGCTATTTAGAAAATAAAACAATTTAAGTGTTATTTAAGAAAATGACCTAAGTTTTAGTGCTATTTAGTGCAAATATTTCAATGAAATATGTGTTTAATACGTACAGGGATCTCATGTTGGGCATGATTTCATGTTAACGCAATTAATTACTCCCTCCGTCCCCCTAAGATGTTCTCATTTTGACTTTTGGTGGTTTTAAGGAGAGTTGAAAAAAGGTGAAAGTTTACCATAATACCCTTAATGAAATATGGGTGGAGTGTATTAAATGAGGTGGGTGAGGTGTAATAAATAAAGTAAGTGGGGGTAGTTATGGTATTTTAATTGTTAAAAAATGGAATGAGAAGATCTATTGTGGACAAAGAAAAAAGGCTATTGAGAAGATCTATGGGGGACGGACGGAGTATATGAAATCAAATTAATGTTGACTCATCTTCAAGGGATTTGCAAAGAAATGCCAACACTTCGTATTATTTCAACAAACAAATATGGAGTAATATTTTGTCTTCCATTTTTCAACAACCTCTCCAACTATATGCTATGCATATTATGCCTATTTATCTACGAATTTTACTATTCAACAATTATTTTTTAACAAAAAAATACTCCATATTTAATTTATTCCAGATTTTTATATTTTGCTTACATTTATGTATAAAATAAACTCCTTCTAAAACTCTTTCATGTTTTGACTTTTTTTATTAAACAGTGATACTCTTTGATCATAAATTAAATATAATCTAAAAAAATAAATGATATAAAAATTTGATATGTCAAAACTATATCTTAAAATTAACCCAATTTTATTGAATTTTTCTCACAATATGCGGTCAAAAAATATCACTATTTGACTAAAAAAGTCAAAATAAGAAAGATTTTTAGTACCGGAGGGAGTATATCATAATTAATATTATGTTTGTTAAAATCGCAATAATGTTTGTTATAAATAACTTTTTTTGTTTGTTAAACTAACAATTTTGTTATAAATAATCATTTTCAAAGAATTCCACACAAATGAAAAGCAAATGCTAAACATCTTATTCTTAAGCATCAATCTAAGGTTACTCTAACTCTCCAAGTATTATTCTAATTAATTTTTGTTTTCATAGGCATATATTCACACAATTTTTATATATATAAATCCATGTTTGTGAAAACCAAAAATGAGCAAGCTATCATTTGAAATTGCTTTTTTAGTCACTTTAGCATATGTTACATAAGAATTCCAAACATACCGTCATGCTCCCGCTCTTTTTTACATGCCTACTCATAAATTTCAATTGAGAATTTCCAAAACATAATCGTTTTTTAGTGCTATTGATTCTAGAGTAAATTTTATAAAAGGATCTCAGTTATAAGTCGTTTTACATATGTAGCTCTTACATATCAAATATTACTAATTTAGTCCCCAATTATTATATTCATTTCCACGAATGGTCTTTTGTTAACATTTCCGTTAAGAACGTGGATAAAATTTTAAATTCAATCTCCTTTCTCTCATCAATTAAGCTTCCACCCTCCCCTCGCACTCCTTTCCCAAACCCGACGCTGAGTTTGAAGCTTTGAACCCAACACCGAAATTATCACTCTTCTCTCAATTGTTTGTCTAACTGGTGGAACCCAAATTCGAAACTAGTAACTTTCATAGATGAGTTTTAATGTTTATTTTCTTTGCAATTTCTTGAGACTAACCGATAAAACTCATCAATAAAGCTTATTGGTTTTGATTTTAGGTTCCACCAGAAAGACTAATAATTAAGAGAGAATAGATCATTTTAGTTTTGGGTTTTGAGCTTCAAACTCAACGATGAGTTTGAGAAAGAATGCGAGAGGAGGGAGGAAGCTTAATTGATGAGAGAGATAAGTATGAATATACAATTTTATCAATGTTCTTAACAAAAACATTAAAAAAGGACCATTGGTGAAAAATGATATAATAATTGGAGACAAAATTAGTAATATTTGATATGTAAGGATTAAATATGTAAAATGACCTATAACTGAAGACCTTTTATGGAATTTACTCTTGATTCTATTACTCCGTACAAGGTTGTATTTATTCGTATTATTCTCAATTTAATGACGTACAAAAAGTCAATGTCTCCACCTCCGCTATAGCTCGAACCTGAGTGAATTTTCCCTTGAATCTTGGCAAGAGAACTTCCTACCACTCAAGCCACGAGAGAAGTTCTCCTGACTCGAGTTTAATTTGATGAAAACCTGACCAAACTCGTTAATTTTGTTAATTTTTTGCTTTCATCCTAAAATGATTCGCACTATACGAATCATGTTTACACTTTGTGTTTTTAAATTTATTTTTTTATAAGTTGGCACACAATTAAAAATAGAACTTACATGATTTTTTTTACAGAACAAGGGGTGCAAATAGTATTTTACTTCTATTTATGTATTTTCTTTATGTTTTACTCTTATTCCTTTTTTTTAATTTGTCAAATGATCAATGAGAACACACAAGTAAACAAAATTAGAGAGAGGCTGAAATAGTAATAACCTAATTCATTGGGCATTCTCTAATGATATGTCATTACTTAATTGATTTATTTAACATTTTTTTATTTTTTATTAATTAAAATAATTTTCATTATTATTTTATTTGGTGACCATTACATTTGTATAAAATTCTTAGGTCATGTGTGCATTACACCTCGACGCGTGTCATGCCACATGTATATGTTTATTGGAGTATTATTAAATTTTCATGAAAACCCTTCACTTTTGTACATTAAATAACTTTTATTTTTATTAAAGTCTATGAACTCTTCACTTTCTTACACTAAATAACCATTATTATTGAGCAAAAAAACATTTATAGTTATTAAATTTTCAAAGTAGTATTATAGCATTTTCATCACATATAAATATTTATTAAATACTAAAATTATTTCAAACTTTTTATCCTATTACATATTACGAAGTACTCCCTCCGTCCCGAAATAGATTACAATATTCCCTCACATTTTTGTCCCAAAAAGGATTACAAAGTCAATAACTTTATAGTGATTTGACTCTTTTACCCTTTTCTTTTCTTTTCTGCCAGCCACTATTCACACTATTCATCCATGTGATAGGAAGGATATTTGGGGGATTTGGGGGGTAATTTGGGGAAAAAAATTGATTAGACTCTTTCTTAATTTCAACAAAAAAGGAATATTGTAATCTAAAGTGGGACGGAGGGAGTATGTTTTAGTATATGGCGTATATTTTTTTCAACAAACTAAACAAAACAAAGTTAGAGGTGAAAGATGATACGCGTTGTATGTCATATACTCCCTCCGTCCCTGAAAACCTTTCTCCTTTCTTTTTTCATCCGTCCCAAAAAACACTTCTCATTTCTATTAAAAAGTTACTTTTACCCCTTACTTTTTCATACCCTACATATCACATCATACCTTTTTACTAATAATCTATCTATCAAATCATACTTTTTACCCATCACATCAAAAGACATTTTTGGAAATACAATACCAAAATACACTCTCATTAAATACTTCTTCAAAATCAAAACTCCTATGTTTTCCGGGACAGAGGGAGTATGTATTTTCTCATCATGTGTCATTACTTAATTAATTCATTTGAAATTTGTTATTTTAATTTTTTAATTGAAAATTATTTCTTTATTATTTTTTTAATTGATCATTTAGTTTATATAAAACTTTTCACGTCATGTGTGCACACCATGCCACATGTGATGTCACAAATGCATATTTATTTTTACTAGGTTTTTAGAAACCCCATATATCATTATTAAAGAATTAAAATAAAAAATGTTTTATTTTTTAGATGTCAAATATTAGAATATATTCGAGCTCGTGTGAAGCTTGAAAAACATTATATATATATTTTTAAAACAATCCACCATTTATTTTATATTGTTAATTTTACCAAATAACTATATTTTATTAGCTATATATTTACTAACTATATACTGTATTTTATTTCAAAATGTTTTATCTGTAAAATTATTTAATTAGCTATATATCATTTTAACAAATTTAATTAAATTAATTTGTTTTTGTAGAAGTATAACACATGGCATATAGGCCAGATACCACATGTATTTTTCAATGATTTATCATTACCTAAATTTATTTGGCATTTTTATTTTATTTTTTCACTAGTTAAATCAATGTTTATTAGTATATCATTTAATTACCATTTGATATTTTTGGTCAAGTTGCTCTATATTTAATTATAATGTAAATTTATAAAAATTGTATCCATTTAAAATATTGTTTTCATACATCAAATTTTTATGATATTTAATTACATAAAACTGTATTTAATTTGTAATCAAAGTGTTACATACTTGCAAAGCACGAGGTAGAAAACTAGTAAAAATAAGTAATAAGCAGAAAACATAAGTAACGAAACGCCAAGAAAAATTTGACATAGGGGAGAAGGCTGAAAAAAGATAAGTACTTCCTAGCTTTGAACACATTTCAGATATCCCCCAAAGATGACAAATAGAAGAAGTTGATGTCCTCTAAGTATATACCCCTAACTAGGAAGGAACACAATTCCGATACCGAACCAATACTGGAACCAAAAGTTTCCAAATTGTCACGGGAAACCATATATCGGAGAACGAGAACCAAAAAATAGGCGTGCAACTCCGGATCCTATATTTTTTTGTGCGGTTCTGGTTCGACCCCGACATCTAAGTGTTGTGAGCCACACTCATACCAAACACACAAAATCTGCCTTTTATCTCTTCCTCCATTTAACCCCTAAAACCAAAACATGTATCACCCATTTATCCAATTCATATTCAGTCTCTCGACTTGAGCAGAACAGGGACACGAAAACAAACTTTTTAAAATATGAAATGTGCAGATGAAAAAGGCAATGAAATTAAAACAGTTTTCCACCCATTCACAATGTGAACCATCAATCAAATGTTTCCACCATTGAGGAGGGGGCCACCAAGCTTACCTGCAGGCCACATACCAAATCAAGAAACCTATTCAATGGATCAATCCAACTTATGGGGCAAAAACTATAAGAATGATATAAAGACTACATCCTCTACGACCAGACCCTTCATTGAATGAACCAAACTATAGAATTACTTCTCATGGAGAGTAATACTCTGTCAAACCAATCGCTTCCTCATAATCGTGCTGGCATAAAGATTACTAAAAAGTAAGTTATTTTGAAAATTTCATTGAAATATAAAACAAATCAGCAAACCATTCAGGGCGCTATGTGCATCCTTTACCTGCTACTAGCTGTACGGTAGAAATCAGTACTATGTTATCATAAAGTCGATATACGTAATAAAATTTAAAAAAGACGTGGATCCAGCATACTTATCATAATAAGATACTCCCATGAACTCCACATTTCAAGATTTTATCATCTTCTATGAAAGAAATGTAGGTCGGTGCAAGAACCAGGCGTCTTTCTGAATTTGTCACTCAATAGTGCAACAAACTGAGGCAGCCAAGTTAGTTATTAGAGTTGTAAGTGAAAAAGAAACCAGAAAGTATCAGTCAAAGAAAAAACACAAATGAATTGTCAGTTATTTAGCGCCACAACAAACATCATCAACAGATTATCTGAAAAAAATATAAGATGACGCGATGCAAAAAGAACACAGAACAATAAAATCCAACACAAGCAGCAACCGATATTATAAAATAAATTTCCCAAATAGAATTGCCAATGAAAATCTGTAAGGACAGCACTTTAGCTCCTCCCTCTCTGCAAATGTCATAACAGTACACAGCAAGGTTAAAGATGTGAGTCCGAAACTTCCAACAAGAAAAGTCATGGCAAGAGGTAAGAAATCGTGAGAAGTGCTCCAAGGAATCATCCTGTAAAAGTTTACAACATTACAAAGAAGAAGATGTGTTAAAATGAAAAGTCTAATCCAAAAGGAGCAAACTACAATTATTATTCAGATATGATCTTAATAATAAATGATTTGAATCTTTTCCAGGTTGATCTCCTTGTATACTGGAAGCAAATGTGCCTCTGCAATCCCATCAAATTTTTATGAAAGGAAACAAATAATGAAAGTTTGTTCAATCTTGTTCATTTATAAGTTAAATCTCATTAATTGAGAGAAACGGTGGATCATTACTTATTCACATAAAGGATCCAAAACACCTTAAATAATTTAATACTCCCTCCATCCCCATGTAAAGCCCCCTTCAATTTTCAATTGTACCCCTTACAACTCCTACACATCCCAACATAAAGTAAGGGTATAGTGGTCTATTTGTATTCTTTGCTCTACATCCTTGATCCATATGAAAAGAGCAATGTGGGCAAAAACAATGGGACGGAGCCACGGAGGAAGTAATAAGACATTTAAGTAAAATGATATTCCTGTATCAACTACATTTGAGAAGAACAAATAGAAAATGGAACAGCGTTCCTTGTTATAGGTGATGTTGTTACCAAAACTTGAAGCCATCATCAACAACAACAACCACTGGGGGGGGGGGGGGGGGGT